CAATAGCTATTATTTGAGTGAAAAGTCTAAATAGTTCATTTCCTTTATATAGATTGTTTGTCTGTGGTCGTATGATCATCCCAATCACGTTTATGTTTAGAGCGAATCTGCAAATAACGTGTTATTTTGTTGTGGTTAATGCTCCCGATGGATCAATCTTTTGCCAACTTTTTTTAACTAATTTGTTACTCGCGCTTGTTCACTTCCCGAACCTAAGCTCTGGGGTACTTGTGTCATACGAAGAAGAAAAATGGCAATGGTACAAGTGTAGGGCAAACCTACGATCAATGGCTTGAGAAACAAGCATTTTAAGCCATTTAAAGTCATAACGTCCTCTGCCAATTGCAACTTTTGAACAAAACAAGCCATACTAAAATCAGTTTGATTATTTTGTTTTAACGAGTCTGTCCTGGCATGCCCTTTACATATCATACCTTCTTGATTTTTCTAATAATTAGTAAATATTGCTGCAAAAAGCATTTCAATCATAAGTATTTTATTTAGTTTTAAGAATCTGTTTTGATATTGTTTGTTATGAAGGCATATTTTCAATTATCAAAAATGAATACTGCTTAAGCCGGTGCTTGGGGTATATAGGACTAATACATGTTTAATCAAACCTTTAGCTTTGCTGTTTTAGAGATTCTTTTCCTTTTTATGTTTAAACCCGTTCAACGCCCGTTATTATTTATAAGTTTTCCCACTTTGGCTTCTATTACTAAAAGGTAAAAGAATATCTAAAGTTTATTGACAATCAAGATTTAATATAATTCTGTTTTATAGGATGATTCCCGACAAATTACTCCCAACGGATATAATTAAATAAGATCTAGAGTTAATTCAGCAAGATTTACTCGATCTTGATCCGTCTTCTTTAATTCAAGGGAAATGGGCTATTAGTTTATTGATTCATATATTTGTGGAATGTATACCAGCGTAACATTTTCAAGGACATATGGAATTACAAAGAAAGAATAACATTACTAACCGATGTCAAGAAAATTTAGAAGAAAGATCAGCATTTCACGGCTCATTCTCCTAAATAAATTAAGGGTATATAAACAACTGAAAAATTCTAAAAAAACCCTAATATTATTAAATGACAAATAGTACAGTTTAAATATGTCGGTATCACTTATTTTGCATCAAAGGTATGATTATATACTAAACTCCTGATTTTTTTGCAGTTGTTTATTTTCATGATTGGATTCAAACATTGAAAGAAACGTCATGCTTGTAAAATGAACAGTTCTTGAAAACAAACATCTGACTTTACTGACTAAAACATAAAATAAAGTGTCTGCATGCTTTATGTCCACCTTTTTTATTTTAATTCGAGTGAAAAATAATATATTTATAAAAACGTGCTCATTATATTGCTGATTGATCTAATATTGTATTTGATTAACAAAAGAATAATAATTATTGTGAAGCATTACTACATTCCTACACAGTCAAATATTAAACTGAAAACAACTTTATCTACATAGCCTTTACTCTTTAATCCGTTGTGTATTATGTAATATGAACAGGATATTGCTTAAATCTAGAAAACGTATTAAACATAAAAAAATAGATTATTAATTGAAATTGTTCTTAAAAAATAATAATTGTTCTTCAATTATACTAAAACGTATATAACCTCATTTCTCGCATATGTTTTTATAATATGATAAACATCTAAAATGCCTGTTATTGTACAATACAAAGACGGATGAGACACAGTTGTCAACCTTTCAAAGATATTGTGATGCTTCTAAATAAACCAATAGAACGCGCTGTGGATTTCTTTGTAACGACATGTTTTATATTGGTCGTCTGTTCTCTTGGAGAATTGTCAGTCTCCCATCTGAGCTTCGGTAGCAAGGATCATATAATTATAGGAATATTAAAGGAACACTTTTATAAGTAAGATTCGATTTTTATTCAGTTTATATTTACCTATTCTAACAATGTTTTAAGTTTTATTGTATTTATCTTGTATATTATAGAACGGAATTTGAAATGAAATTAAAAGGAAAAAATTGAAACAAACAGATGGCAGACGTTTATATCTTTGTAAAACATGTTAAAGATTGAAACTTTCTAGCTCAAAGATCTTTTCAGATTTGCATTTTATAGTGATAAAAATATGTAAAGAAAATATACATATGTAATTATTTTAGGTTTTAAATTTTGATACTGCTGTTCTTTAATTTTCTTTTTTCAAAATTGGTTTTTTTATTCACAACAAAGAAATGCTAAACCAAAACATTTTCAAAAGTTATCTTTGATAATGCATCAAAAACAAAATGATCAGCCGTGTATAATGAGGCACACAGATTCGCAGATAGTTGATAAAATACTTCTTAGAATTTATCAGATTGCATTTAGGAAGTATGAATGTATGCTTTAAAAAAACAACTTATGAATGAATGTCTGGAATTGTTTTGTCACGTATTTTGTACATAACCGAATGTGTTAATGCGCGAATAGCAGAAAACAAATACAAGCTCGTACAAATTATAGATAATCAAAAATATAATTTCGCATTTCCACAAAACAAAAATTAATTATAATTCAAAAAGTGCAATCATTCTTTTAATTCTTTTTCAAAAGTTTTTTTTTGTATGATGGAAACTTACATTTTGTAGAGTTATCCCAGTCACTGATCCGACATTATTGCGATATTGCGACTTTCTAAAATTACGAAAATAACATATGTTCAATAATTACAAATAAAAAAACGAGCTTTAGAAAAACAAATTGCAACTTGTCTCTCAATGCTGATAAACTTGCGGAGAAATTGGCTATCACTGGTTAGCTATCAAAGATGTTTAATTTAGTGATATTTTATTGCTTTTTGAATTCAATTTTAGGAAAATTTGTTTTACATATTAACAACAATTATAACAAAGGACAAAAGGGGTTGAACAACATGCTCTAGCAACATTAGGAATTGTCCTTTCCCCTTAAGCATTATAACAGATAGAAACGAATACATGTTTAAACACTATACGCAAGAGCAATACCAAAGATTAAGACTGATACAAATATAAAGTAGCACAAAGAACTCGTCATGTACTTTAAATAAGGTACATTTGGTATGATTTTTATATTAAAAATTTTCCTGCTCTTGCAGTATGTGATGATTTGTATGGCTGTTCAAAAGTTGTCATTTATAAAAGGAATTAAAAAGAATTAAATAAATATCAAAGTAAGCCGGTTTATGAATGCGTTAATATCCGTGTACATACTAATTAATAACAAAAGAGCGCACCAATTCAACAGTATCATTTGAAGGAAACATTTTCGTTCGTTTACGATATACATTTGTACATTCTTTAATGCTGACATATAAAATAAAAACGCTTCTTTGTACTTATTTCTAGACATTAAAAACAACTTGAGCGATAATTGCTACTTGGGATACAGGTTTAATTGTGCGTGCCATAATTATACATGTCAAATAATTCTTGCGTTCAGTCGAGCACATTTACAAGGGTTATGTACATCAATTAAAGTAGTCTATGAACTCAAAGATGTAAAGTACAAGGTTGCTCCTGATTCGTACAACAAATAAGGTAAAAGCCACTTTTGAAGTTCAACGTGTTATACTTGCACACACGGTACATATCCTGAGTTAGTTTGGAAAGCATCTTGTTTCAAACTATATCGATTTGACGCTGAACTAGACGCGTAAAAAGAAGAAAAGGTGTAGATTTGCGTGTCAAATAAATGTATGAACCGGTGAATTGCTTATGCATTTTTAATGAACTTATTATAACTATTCTCTTACACGTTTCATATAACCAGAGCTTTCAGTAATAATTTCTTTAAAAAATAGCCGTATTGATTGATCTTTAAGGTTCTAATTTCAACTAAAATTCAATTATAAGAGATGCTGTCAGTGTCAAATCGTATGAATTGAAAAGAAGCAAATATTTTTTTAATGTTTCATTGTTTCTTTGGCAAATACCACAGTTTGATGAACAGTAAAATTTAGGTAATTATAATAACAGAAAGAAAACATACATATCGTGTCGGGAAGTACAACGGTATTATGCCATTTTATTTTATTAACATGGCGTTAATTTCTTTTCCCATAAATATATGTAGAAAACTATATATACATTAACCACATTTCTTAGTTATGAAAAGGTCGGGTATAGGCAAAATCTTTTGAGAGAAGCACCGCAAATAGTTTTTTAAAGATCAAAATGGTGTTTATTCAAACCCTTTAATATTAATAGAAAATTGCATTGAGATATTTTAAAGAAACATTGTTCAAAATTGATCTATAACGTAACATAAAATCTACCCCAAAATTATTATGCAACTTAAAATACTATACGTAAGATTACGCACAGAATACAGCTCAATAAACTATCATCTATTTCAAATATATCCTACATCTTTATGTGAATGAATGTGAATGCGGGCAAATGGAAACCAATTTTCACTATATTTGTGAATGTCCAATTTTTAATGCATAGGAGTATATATAAAAGATATTTCAAAGTCTTAACATTTTCAACTTCTAACACATTTTCACATGTTTATGTTTTTTTCAAAATACTTATATTCCCCGATTTGTTACACCTTTTGATATAGTACAAAACTTGACACATTATTAAAATACATTAAGAAGGAGAAGAATTTTTTAAGACTTAGTCTTCGGTTCATATCCTTTTCTTGAATATAAGAATGTTTGATTTGTATTGTTAATGTATATTTATATGTATATATTCGGGAAATGAATATGTTTAAGCTAAGAGGCGTTTCGTAAAAATCTACTTCCCGGTACTCATAAGGGAAAAAAAATAAATGAAAAAAAAAACAAAACACAAACCTGATCTATTTTTGATTAATATACAAAGATTTTAGGTACATGCAGGTCCTTAACAAATCTTGCTACAACTATTTAATCTATCAACTGGATGACTGTCTATTAAATATGGTAACTATGAAGCTTTATTTTAATATCTTTAATACTTTGTTCTTTTTTATTCCAGAGCAATACAAAATATTTTGTAACAACCATATCCGGGAAGATTATAATGGAACTTTAAAATGAATAACGGTATTCCACAATGAGTAACATAAACAACATGGATTGGACAATTATTAATGAAACTGAAATGATGGAACACAGTATATCAGATGGAACACAGAGCCGGTTCCACGAAAACATAACTCAGCCGCTAACCTTTGTTCCATACCACCCGCTGACATCATTTATAGAACAATATACAATCCCTGTTATATCTATCTTTGGACTTATTACCAACACGCTGTCATCAATTGTGTTTTTACGGAAACCTCTCAGAGACAGCTCTTGTAGTATTTTTCTCGCAGCAAGAGGTTTCACAGACAATGGATTCTTATCAACATTATTGATAGTGTGGATATCACAAACTTTCAATCTCCAATTAGGATCTTTAAGTGGATCATGTAAAGTTATAATTTTTCTAAGCTACATTTGCGGTTTTATTTCTGTGTGGTTGGTTGTATTTATAACATTCGAAAATTACATAAGAATTTGCAAGCCGTTTGTTGTAAAGAGGTTTTGTACAACTGCCTTGGCAAAGGCTGTTGTAGTAGTACTTTGTCTTATTTCGGTATGCATATATAATTTTCCGTTCTGGGCCATGAGTAAAGATAATTGCTTATACCTTCCGCGCCATCGGTACTCTGTGCAAGCGCTTATTTACACTGACACTGTTATAACACTTGCGTTACCCATTTGTTGCATAATATACCTGATGACTGCAATCGTTTGTAACCTTATAAAATCATTTCGTGTACGAAATCTTAGGCGAGGTAATGGAGCAAAGACTGAAAATCCGCTTGCAAAGGTAACAAAAATGCTGTTTGCGGTGACTGTAACATTCTTTTGTTTAAATCTGCCTTCACATATCTACAGATATGTTCAGATGATCTCCTCATTTGTAGACGACAGTAAGCAACCACACAGGCATTCAATACAAGAAGAGGCTATTCACCAAACAACACTGCTGTTGTCATATATATCGATTTCAACCAATATTATAGTATACATTATATTCGGGAGTAAATTCAGGGCAGAACTCTTACACATGTGCCATTTATGCCAGAATACATCAGCACAAGAAAATATTCATCAAGTTCGGGCACAGTTAGTTGTTGGAACAAAACGAAGAAGCTTTTCGAGGATTGAAAATACTCAAGCAAATACATCATTGACAGTATTGTTAACAGACAATGAATGGGCTTCGGAACTAGTTCCTCTTCAAAGAGCCTACACAAAGTAATCAATCGAGTGTGCAAATTTATAATGAGTATAAATTCATAGCTACTGTTGAAGGAACGTTATGTGCTCGTCCATATGGTCTCTTTCGGTGGCGATACCAAAACATACAAAAGTAGGTGGATTCGTAACAAACTTGTAAGTTGATAATAAGTATAAATTAATAACAACTGTTAAAAGAAAGCGGATTTCAGAACAATATTACATGGATTTCGCAAGCTGATCATAAGTATAAACCCATAGCAACGGTACAAAAGTGTATTAATAACAATTTTATGGATTTAGCATGTAGCTTTTTATAGATACTGTTAAAAGAAAATGAATTTCTAAACAATATTGCATGGTGTTTGCACATTGATGATGAGAATAAATAAGTGTTCAAATAAAGTGACTTTGAAATCAAAACGTGAGACATTACACAGCTTAAGAACAATACTTTTTAAATTTATGAAAATTGAGTGTTTAAACAATAATGTTATTTACCTATGACCCAGAGGTTTACAATGCATTGCAATCTGATATGTGGTTTTAACAAACTAAATTTGTTTTGTACGAGAGATGTTCGAAATGTATTGCTTATTTCTATCTGGAGACTTTAAATTTCAAGTTAGCTTAAAAGTATTCATTTTATGTCATCGAAGTACACCCCGTGGCTAAAAATACAAAGTTTCAGCCAATGTATCCACTTTTTGAAGGCGTCACAGTACGCTGATTTCGGCACAGTGATGAGGTACTGATGAATGGCAGATCCAAGTGCCTGTCAGGACTTGTATTTCCGCCCAGCAAGCAAGGATTTCAATTTGGGAAACAAAAGGAATCACATGACGCAAGGTCTGGAGAATACGGGGGTGAGGCCAAACAGTTACTTTTTCTTTTTTCAAAAACGCCGAAATTATTGCGGAGGTATGAGCGTGGGCATTGTCATGTAGAAGACGGATATGCTTAAAACCAGTGACAGGGTGTCGTTTCTTATAATACTTTTTCAGTTTCTTATGTACTACGTCTTTGTAGTACTTCCCAGTGATACTTTTGCCCTTTTTTGCCGGCACTTTTATTGCGACTCCTTCACCAGAGAAGAAAAGTGCATACGAAACCTTCTTTGCACTCAAAGACCGTTCGGCAATTATGTGCGTTTGTTGTGTTTAGTTGCCCAAATTTTGTTGCTCACTTTTCTGACGGGCTAAAAATAATAGACCCAAGTTTCATCACCTGTGACGACATTGGCAAACTGTTTTTTGTCATATTTTTGAAACATTTGAAGCAGCTTTTTGGCCACCTTAACCCGTTGCCTCTTTTGCTTATCGGTCAACAGATGCGGCACCCATCTAGCAGAAATCTTATTGACTTTCAAATGCTTCTTCAAAATAAAGTGAACCGTTGATAGTGATATGCCTACCTTTCGTGCAATATTACGAACTGTAAATCGGGCATTTCCTTCAATGATATCCTTTATTTTGGAAACGATTTCGTTACGAAATGCAAATTTTGGCCAACCTGATTTTGGTGCATTTTTGATGCACTCTACACCAGACTCAAATTTCTTTTTCCATCGCCTATCTGTGTCATAAGACACACAAGAAGGCCCATTAGCAGTAGAGAGTTCAGTCATCAACTGCTTCAAAAGGCAACCCAGTTATGAGCGAGCTTTAATGTAAGCCCGTATTTCATCTTTTTTGTCGACGCTTCTACCAACCATTTTTACTACGCGGTCAATGACTGCGTGTACATTTGTATTTAAATGGCAAATTGTATGTGTTACAGTTAGTCTAACTTGTAAATTTATACACCGTTGTGTAGGTATTGCATTACCCTATACAGGTATGTATTGGTTTTTATCGTGTTCCACGTGAATCACGAGATAGAGGACAATAAGCAATTCTTTTCGAACAGCCCTCGTATGAACTGTATAAACTGCTAAAATATTATTATTATATAATAATATGATTGGTAATATGGACGACTCTGTTTAAAATGCTAAGGTAATATGATTGGTAATATGGACAATGCTCATGTCCGTATTGAAATCTGAATTTTGATAATATTGCATGAATAACAAACAAGCTAGTATTCTTATAAGTATTTCTATGTAAGATGTTTTTCTAATAAAAATATAATTAGGTACATTTGTCCTTAGCTTGTTGCTTTTTTCCATAAAAGTTATAGTTAGACAGACTAAATTTCCTTCAAGGTTTCAAATCAGAACGAAGACCTACGTTTCGTTATTTCTTAATGCAGTCTGGCGGTTGCAATTTAAATCTGTTGATTTTTGAAACAACTTATTCACGTTCAAGCCCATTTTGTAATAACCCTTTCAATAATTTTATTTATGAATAAACACTGTTAGTTTTGGCCACGTTTAGATAAAAATTGTTTAGAGACAAGAAAAATCATTTACAGAGTAAAATATTAAGAAGAAAAAATATATTTAACAATCTTAAATTCCACAATATTTTACACAAAGTAAAACTATTAATTTACCTATTACATTATATGTCTTTGTCAGCGAATTACTAGGCTAAGTCCAGCGATACCGAATGACTATAACAAAGCTTTTTATTCCTGTGCTGAATGACAATATTTGCTTCGTTTAAACAAATGATTAGAAAATGACAATTGCCGAGGGATAGAAAATAGGGAAACATATTTCATGTAAACATGCAATGTTACATGTCTTGAAATGGTATATTTCTTGTCAATGCTTTTTGATATTTTGTTTAATATAATGTTTTTGATTTAATTATATATATTTAAAAGGAGGCAGTGACCCTTTAATAACGTGTCAAAGAAATTGTTTGCCTATGATATCTAGACAATCCGAACAGGAACTGTAACTTAAATAGAATATTTTTAATAATGTTTAGTAAGTTTTACTTTTCTTTTGTACGCCGTCTTTTACAAATTTCTGTTCATATAACGGCGAACGGTCTAGTTACATGTAACCGGTTTTCTTGGATAACTGACAAGTAATTTCAAATATCTTGGCAAGTGACCAAGTACTTATCCAACATGGTTTCAGAATAAGTGGAAAGGGACAAATGACCATCGTTGTACTAATTGTAGTAAAAAGAATAAAAATAGACAGACTTATTAATCATTTCCTGCTGAATGTAATGGTCATATATCTGCATTTGTTTTGAAGAAGGAGCAGTCAATTTAAAGTTTAAGAGATTCCAATATCGAAATATTATAAATTAAAAGTCGGTCACTTCCGGCGAAAATGTTTTAATAGTTACTTATGAAGGACACAGTTTGAACAACTATATGTCATGATTCGCGTTTAATGTTTTGGTTGTATTTACATTTGTGAGAATCCCTTAGTTTTTAAGGCTATATTGTATAAGGATTAGTTAACTTATTCAAAAAGCGTCATTATCTAGTGTTTTTTACAGCAAATTTATAACTTAAAGGGGGTTCTAATAAAGCATTAAAAGCATACTTCTCTAATAACAATATAATGGCACTTTCGAAACAATTTCATACACATTTTGGTCCAAACGTTTCAGTTTATATTTCCTCAACATATGGTCATTTCGTAAAGCATAATATTACCTTTTAAGAAACTAAGGCATTTGTGCTCGAAAACAATCACTTACATGTAAAGTATTTATTTGAAAATTTTATTTATTTGATTATGTACCGCTGTACTACTGGCTTTCTTAAAATTTACGAACATTGTCAGAAAAAGGAAAACAATTAGCATCATGTTTGCGTTGGATGGTATAGTGTGTACCCACCATAGTAATTAGATCAACTAGAAAAATACCAAATAATTATAGCCTTTGGTGACATTAACCCATGGTGTACGTCAATATTTCACACACTGTCCTTTCCATTACCTTGTTTCCTACAGGACAAATCATAGATTCTGACATAGTGTCACTACATATGTAAAAACTACTTTACACCAACTGACCATATAGTATCATGATAGTTCTGGAAAGTGTCCTGAAATGAGGAGAAGTTTAAATAAATTGTTATCGAAATGGAAAACAAAGTAAAATCATTCTTGTTAAGTAAAGAGAAAAATGACAGATATTGTATGTGTCATATAGATTACTTTTCCGTTTTGCTGATTCAATCAGAAAAAACACTTACTGTTACACATCAAAATTCAAAAGGAATGTCATCAATCTTAACGAATATGATACGATCAACTCTATAACATTAATATCATATCTTTGAAATTATATAATACTTGTGTTTTTTTTTATCGGATATAGGTAAGCAACAAACCTTTTGAGTTAATTGTGAACAAAGTTAACATTGAAACAAACGTTATCTTTATATGACGAATCTACGATATTTATATTCAATACTGTTATACAATATTGCCTGCTTAAGTGAAAAAATGATCTACATTAAATCTAAAATAAAAATTAAAAAAAACCCAAACGATTCGATACTCGTCAATGAATAAACACAATTATTATTTTGGTATTTTCAGAAGAATAAAGGTAAACAAATCAAATAACAAAAATCGTAAACAACTTTCAAACATTGCACTTTGAGATTGTACAAGAATATCTCTAGCCATTTACATACAAGAAAACATCTGTTATTGGATATAGCCGATACATCTCCTTAATTAATTTCCTCATCCTGGGGGGAAAACATCTTGATTTTCCGAGTAATTTAACATTATCTCATGAGTAAAGGTTATACGATATGGATAACTCTTTTTCCAATTACAACTGTTGTAACACTATCTTTCAAGTGTGGGCATTTTCAGGAGTAAGGTGCAAAAGAAGAAAATTGGTCAAATCGGAATATCATGAAGCTTCTGGGTATTTCAAGAATATAGAAAATACTCTAACCAACACAGATATAAGACATACACAACATCGAATCAATGACTAATAAAAACACAAACTATAGACACATTAAGATATTACAGACAGCATAAAACAATTATCAAAATAGATTATCATACTTACACTGTTTTATTTGTATAATGATAAATTGGAAACAAAAGGTCCTAAATACGAGTATATATTATAAAATGTGCTTTCACTAAAATTGATTTTAAACCTAAATTGCATTGAGAATTGTTTTTGAACAGGAAAAGTAAATGTTATTAGTATAAAATAAGGTAAAAGTTATGATATTAAATATAATTGTTACAAATAAGGTAAAGAGTTACCATATATACAATAGAGCATAACACCGTCAACAATAAAACAAAAATGAAAACATCAAAAAAATACAGAAACTATTTTTATAACAGTAAGTTAGGAATTATACCAAAGTTTTCGATGAATAAATCAATTATTCGTTTACTGTTATGTCAAGAATGTCTGATATACCCCTCAGGCCTTATTACTGAAGCCATATGTTTTTACTGGACACTGTGATAAGGATGACAAATAAGAACAAAATTTGCTTACAAGCCACGATCAATGCTTTAATCACAACAACAAATTCATCTAGCAAAGCTTCTTGACCGGACACCGACTTTGTTTGGAAATCCTCCGTACTCTTATGTGCTGCAAATTCATATGGTGGAATGGCATCGAAGTGGTCTATGTCAGCCAACAGTAAGTTTGAATACCAAAGCCCTATTCAATCCCGAGCACTTAAAGTATAGGAATCAATTAGAAAAATTAAAACAACACTGTCCCATGAAACTATTATTGATCTTGACTTAACTTCACCCTTTTGTGAACTTGTAAATTATAAGTTATTAATTTTTAGTGAAAATTCTAATACCAATGGTCGTATTTATTTGAAATTTCACACATGTCCTTTGCATCATAATTGTAGGTCACTGACCAAGACTCATTAAATATCATTTATCTAATTTCATATATTAATAGATAATATTATTACCCCTCACTTTTTTCGTAAGGTTTATTTCGGAGTTATTCTTACTGGTAATGCAAGTGTACCACGTGACTAAGAATTTTGTACTGTTACATAGGTAACAGTATTTTTAACAGTATAAAATCTGGTCACGTGGTCTATTTTCTAAATGAAATGAAATGAAATGGCCACCATTTTTTTCTCGATTCATTCTTATTTTCGACAATAGGGCATCGCCGAAGCATAAAATTTAGTTCTTTGCACCCTAGAGTTCCTTTCGCGTATAAACTATCTTTTTGTTGAATAGTCAAAAGGAAACATCCGTTTTCAACAGAAGTAACTGTAATGTGAATAATTTTGTGTCAAACTCGAACATGCAGACATGGACGATTAAAGCATGCAACAAAGGATTATTTAACAATTTTTACCAGTGAAACGTTACAGATAGAGTTGGTGGACAGACATCTGTAGGATATTATCGTTTTTTTCTAAATGCACTTTGTTAAAAACCATGCGAAAAATATTCTGGATGCAGAAGGATCAGATTTCACAGGTCATAACCTTAAAAATGGGTTAGTGTTTTGTTTTCTAAATAAAAAACAGCTTATTTTATGTTTATGACTGGTAGATTTCATCACTTGCCTAAAGAATAAAATAAAAACAGCTTCTCAAATAGGCCTACAGTACACTTAAAACTTGCAAGGTAAGGACAGTTTAGTTATTGCTTCTCTTGGTTTATTTTTGTTACAGTTAGATTAAGCTGACAAATTCAGATCATCACAGTATTTGTTCGGGGTAATAAAATAAATAACACATGGGTTTGTTGGTATCAGTAAAAATATCATCCCTCGTATAAATACTGTTACCCTCGGCTACGCCTCGGGTAACCGTATTTTCCTCGGGATGATATTTTTACTGTTACCCACAAACACATGTGTTATTTATAAACTGTCATGTACCTATAAAAGTGTAACCTCTGCTGTTAAATTTAAAACATTGTCTATACCTAATATGAACCAAACCACCACCTTTGAAAATTATAGATATGATATCAATTTAAAATTTAAAATGGCACCAAGAACTATTTTTACAATTCACTTTATAGAATATTTGAACTATAAATATGATAAAAAAACTAGCAGATTTTAGACCAAATCACTTTGAACAAAAATTAATAATGCGCTTGCCACAAAAACCAAGAATTTTAACCAAGTTAAAATGGCGTTTGTTTAGGTTATTTCGTCACGATTTAAATAATAACAGTTAATGCAAGAGTTAGCTGGAAATAGGGAATCGCATGCGAAGTTTCAATCTCAATCTATTTACAAAATTAAATAGAACAATAAGCTAACATGAATATATTCTAGAAATGATATAAGATTCGTTCGGCGGCAAATTTTTGACCCCATCTTGGATATCTCAGCTTTGCATCGGGTTTAGGTTGTAATTTTGAAGGATTATCCTTTTCAGAAACAACATATCCAGATTTTGGCATATGAAACTTGCTGACTGACTTATTATACAAATTATTGTAGATGTTGAAACTATGAAAGAAAGTTTTTGAGCACAAAACGTTAGAATATCACCATATTATGGTATAAAACACGTATTGGGAAGCAAGAGTAATCAAGAATTACAAATATCTTCAATAAAATTTATACTTGACTTCAAGATATAATTAAACACTTTAATGTAGTTAAATGTATGTCTTTTGACGTTCCTTATTAAATATAAGTTGTTAAACAGCATGTACATGATCGAAATACGTTGAATTCACTGAAAATGGCCCAATGTCGCAAATAGCGAGTGTATATATACAATTAAGTTATCGGAGTCAGTTGATGACCGGTTGAGTCAAGACTCCGTCGGAACCTGAAAGAACTCCGTCAGAATCCGTCGGAGTCGATACTTAAATATTTCATGTATCACGAGTTTCATGCTATTTTCAGGTTAATTGTTACCTATATAAAGGGAATGAAATTGGAAACCGGGGTTATTAGTTTGGGATTAGTTTAGTTGAGTTTAGTTGTGTTAAGAGAAAATTACATGTGAGGATTATTCAGGATATTGTCTGTAAAATAAAATAAAATAATTGGATTATAAAATAAAGAAAGTTAACAAGAAATTATTGTGTTTTTACTTAAAATAAAATAAATTCCAGTGTGGCAAAGAAATAGAAATCTACAGTCCTAAAACTGAAAGTAATAAAACTTCGCCACATTGTTTGGTCCCGCGAACCGGATAACATTCAGTGGATACAATAAGTGAAGGAGAGTGCTTTGAATAAGAATTGTGATTTGGATATTGTTCAGTGAAGAATTGTTTGTTATCTTGGATAAATTTATTTGGTGAGTGTGACTTCAACTAAAACTAAAAATGACTAAAGTTAAACATTTAAAAGGTGTTAGGACAAAATTTAGAAATATTCTGCAGAAAAATATTGATTTTGGAAACGATCTGATAAGTATTGATATCGAAAGCTGTAATATTGAGAAAAATGCGCTGGAAACAAATAAATGTATTCAAACTTTAAAAGTGTATTGTGAAAAGTTAGAAGTTCAAAGTGAAAAATTGGCAGCAGCAATCGAAGAAGGTGATTCAAAAGTAATTGAAACAATTACTGAAGAAGATTGTGAACTGTGTTCTGAAGCTGTAGAATGCTCTATTAATCTACAACAATTTAAAGAAATGCTTCTCAACGAAAAAGAGAAGAGCGAAATGAAACATGTTAAAAGTGAATCAAGTGTAGAAACACATTCAGATGAGTTTATGGCACTACACAAGGACATGCAAAAACTCATGCAGCTACAAATTCAACAACAAGAAAGACTACTGGACATTGAAGTAAACAAAGGTAAACATTCTTCTACAAAATTACCTAAACTAGATTTAATATCATTTGGAGGAGATAAGACAAAATGGAGTGAATTCTGGGATTCATTTAAATGTTCAGTGCATGAGAATCAATCACTTTCAAATAGTGAAAAATTCAATTATTTACGAAATAAAGTATTCGGAGAGGCTCAACGTGCGATCTCAGGTCTAACATTATCGGACGCTAATTATAAAATTGCAATCGATATCTTAAGGGAAAGATTTGGAAAAGTGCAAGAAGTAGTTGACTTACATTACAATAAATTAATCAATTTGGAGCCAGCATCGAATAAAACCGGAAGTTTAAGAAGCTTGCTCGATACAGTTGAAAGGCATTTACGCAGTCTAGAAGTGTTACATCAAGATATTGATCAAGCTGTGTTTGTGTCAATGATACGAGCTAAACTACCTGAGGAAGTTCTTGTTCAGTTAGAAATATTAAATGGGTCGAACAATGAGTGGAGTATAGACAAGCTCCGAAAACGATTGAATGAATATATTCTTGCCAGGGAAAGAGCAGAAAAGAAAGATAATGTGTTGGAAAAGAGAATACATGCATCGTCTATTCAATCAGGATACAAGCAAAATTCAGCTCAACTAAGGAGCTATACATATTCAGCTCAGTCAAGAAATAATACAAATTCACCCCAACCGAGGAGTTTATTCGAAATCAGAACAATCAAGAAGTTATTCAAGTTCTGCTCATGTGCTTACAGTGAATAACCCTAAGCAACTTACACAAAGACAACAGACTGAAAATTATGCAGATAAATGTCGTTATTGTCAGCAGAAACATTGGAGCGATGAGTGCACACAATACCGAAACTATAAAATGAAAGAAAAACAGCAATTAAAAGACAGCTGCTTCAAGTGTTTAAAGACAGGTCACAAATCAAGTGAATGTAAGAAAAACAAAATTTGTGCACACTGTGGTGAAGTGAACAAGCATCACAGAAGTTTGTGTCCTCAAAAATTCAAGGTGAAGGAATCAATGACGCATTTAGCAAACGAAGAAACAGAATATTAAGAGACTGAAAAGTCTGAGGAAAATGTTCGCGTGTCGTCAAATGAAATGGTTCTAATGCAGACGGCGATTACAGATATTAAAAATCCAAGATACCTCTGCAACACAGTCTGTTAGACTTTTGTTGGACTCTGGATCTCATCGGACATATATAACTGAAAACTTAGCAAGAAAGTTTCATCTCAAAGTAACGGGAGAACAGGAAATAAAACTTGTAACGTTTGGTAATAATAGTACGCAATGCATCAAAACAAAAATGTGCTAACATTGATGTTAAACTGAAAAATGGTGAATACCATTCAATCAGTGTGAACATAGTTCCGACAATAAGTGGAATTTGCATCGAAGTCCAGCAGGCGTTTTGAATAAGGAGCACGTTAAAACATATTATTGGAAGTGTTGATTTAGCTGATACATTACCAACTAGAAACGAAACATCATCAATAGAAATGTTAGTTGGTAACGACTATTATTTGGATTTATTCTGTGTCAAAAAGATCGAATTAAATCCTGGTTTGTTCCTTCTTGGGTCCAAGTTAGGATGGATCCTTACCGGAAGAACCTCTGATCAAGATAGCGATGGCCCATGTATGCTTATTTCTAACGCATGGTAATAATGCAACAAATACAAGTTTATTTGCCGATGTGGATAGTGTTGTACCTGTGAAACCAAATTTAGAAGACTTTTGGAATGTGGAGTCAATAGGTATTATAGAAAAACAAAATATCTCAGATGATGAACATGCAATGAAAATGTTTCAGGATACAATTCAGTTTGAAAATGGCCGATACCAAGTCACGTGGCCTTGGACTGAAGAATTTCCTGATTTACCTGTGAACAGGGACTTGGCAATAGGTCGCTTAAAAAGTTGTGTTAATAAACTGAAAACAAAACCTGAGTTAATGATGAAATATGATGAAGTTATGAGAGATCAGCTAAGTAAAGGTGTTATAGAGAAAGTTGAAAAATCACCAGTAGATGGTTTGGTACATTATTTGCCACACCATGCTATTATCACACCGCAGAAAACAACAACTAAGATACGCGTAGTATACGATGCTTCGGCGAGAACAAGAAAAGAAAATAAAAGTCTAAATGAGTGCATGTATAGGGGACCAGTAATGCTACAGGACCTCTGTGGTATGTTACTACGATTCAGGATGCATCCAATAGCAATCGTTGCCGATATAGAAAAAGCATTTTTGCAAATTGGATTAAAACCTAGTCAGCGTGATGTCACAAGATTTCTTTGGTTGAAAGACTGTAAAAATCCTACTGTGGTTACTGACAATATACAAGAATTCAGATTTTGTAGGATTCCTTTTGGAGTTATCAGTAGTCCGTTCTTATTAGGAGCAACGGTAGACTTCCATTTAAAATGTTATGAAAATCCAGTTGCAGAAAATCTAAGAAACAACATTTATGTAGACAATGTTATCACCGGAGCTGAAAACACAAGTGAAGCAATACAGCTATATACAAATTCAAAGGCAATGTTTGCAGATGCCTCGATGAATTTACGGGAATGGATTACCAATAGTGATTTTGTAAATGAATTCATTCCAAAGGAAGACAGAGCCGATACGAAAAGTGTTAAAGTACTTGGACATCATTGGAATGTCAATGAAGATACAGTTACAATAGCTGGTCCAAAAAACAAATCAAATGAACCGGAGTGGACAAAACGTACTGTGTTGAAAACAATTTCGTCGGTTTTTGATCCACTTGGCTTGCTATCACCAGTACTCTTACGAGGAAAAGTGTTTATTCAATCATTATGGCAGAAAAATATCGACTGGGATGACAATTTGACTAAAGAAGATCAAGAAAAATGGTTGTCTATTTTAATAGATATTCGCAAAATAGACACGTTGCAAATTCAAAGATGCGTTTGTACGTTCACAGGACATTCTAAGAAATACTTATTGTTATGTTTCTGTGATGCATCGGAAAAGGCATTCTCAACAGTGATATATTTGCATGTTTCAGAGAAAAATACAACCGATGTAAATGTAATATTTGCAAAGACAAGACTTGCGCCTATTAAGAAACTAACAATTCCTAGGTTGGAGCTTCTAGCAGTTCTGATCGGACTGAGGTGCTTAAAATTTGTTAAAGAGCAATAAAGAGTGCCTATTGAAAAGCAATTTTTATGGACAGATTCGAAATGTGTTTTACAATGGGTTACGTCGGATAAGAAATTACCGTTATTTGTAAAGAACAGAGTCAGTGAAATCAAAGAGCACATTGATGTTAACATGACATACATACCAAGTAAAGAAAATCCAGCAGATGTTGCATCCCGAGGGACAACACTGGAAACATTAGCAACTGACTCTTATTGGTGGCACGGTCCTAAATGGTTGTTGAAGCCTACCTCTGATTGGCCAACCGATTATAAAAAAAACGATGATAGCTCACAAATAGTTGAAATGGAAGAACAAACAAACAAACAAGACAAAAAAGAGACAATGTTAATGCAAACTAAAATTAATGCGGAAGAACATAGTAATAATCCTCCATTTGACATTGACAGTAAAAGATTTTCTTCTCTTACAAAACTGCTAAGAGTAACAGCTTTTGTGCTGCGATTCGTACAGAAACTAAAGAAAGTTGAAAGAAAATATGGTTATTTAGAATGTGAAGAATTGTTAGAAGCTGAGAACATGTGGATTAAGCATATTCAAGAAACTCATTTTCAAAGTGACATCAATTCTATTCGAGCTAAGAAAGGTACAAATAGACAACAACAATTAGGGCTATTTCTTGACAAACAAGGGTTATTAAGATGCACTGGAAGGCTTGAAAATGCAAATTTAAGTGAAGGTGCCAGACAACCAATACTTCTTCCAAGAAACGATCATTTTACTGAATTGACTGTGGAAAAAATGCATAAAGAACTACTGCATAGCGGTGTTTCGCAGACGCTTGCAACAACGAGGAAAAGATTCTGGATTTTACATGGTCGTGCAACAGTGAAAAGAGTGTTAAATAAGTGTGTTGTCTGCAGACGCCACGAAGGTGGTTGCTATAAAATGCCACCATTGTGTTGTCTACCGAGGTCAAGAGTGACAGAATCAGTACCATTTTCAAGAACAGGACTAGACTATTTTGGTCCAGTGTACTTGAAAACAACAACAGGTGACGAGAAAAAGGCATGGGTATGCTTATTTACGTGCTTAGTAACTCGTGCTGTGCACCTTGAACTAGTTTGTGACATGACCACAGAAGAATTTCTCTTAGGTTATCGTCGTTTCATAGCTCAAAGAGGTACTCCATCGCATATAATTAGTGATAATGCAAAGCAGTTTAAAGCCGCTAGTTTAGTGATAGATAAGATATGGCATTGTATATTACATAGTCATGAAGTTCAAAGCTACTCTGCAAATGCAAACATCCAATGGAAGTTTATAATAGAGCTCGCGCCCTGGATGGGAGGATTTTACGAGAGGCTAGTCGGTCTTGTAAAAAGATCATTCAGAAAAGCTGTGGGGCGAAAACTCTTAACTATCATTCAAGCTCAAACACTTATCAAAGAAATTGAAGCCGTAGTGAACTCAAGACCTTTAGTCTATATTGGTGATGATGTAAACTCTACAATTGCATTAACACCGAGTCATTTTCTTACGTTGAATCCAAAGATCGGTATTCCACAAGTTTCGGACGAAAATGACAGTGAATATTTGCCAACAGAAAGCTCTTCGGAAAAGTTGTTGAAAATTTGGAAGAAAGGTCAAAAACTTTTAAACAAATTTTGGCAAATATGGAAGAATGATTACTTACTAAGCTTACGAGAAAGAATGCAAACACGTCTGAAAGCAAGTCGTATTCAGTCGCCTGTAAATCCAACAATTGGAGATATTGTTATTGTAAAAGAAAACTTTTCTCGAGGCAACTGGAAACTGGCAAAAATTGAGAAGTTAAATGTCAGTCGAGATGGTGCTATAAGATCATGTCAAATAAAATTGGCTTCAGGAAATGTTCTGAATCGTCCAATGAATTTACTTTTTCCCATTGAAACGACTCAAAATGATATAGTTACAAAAGAAAAAAGTGATGAAAATGTGCTTGAAGAGCAAATAATACGTTCAAACAGAAACAAAAACAAGATGCAAAGTTATCAGATGTCCGAACGTAATGTACGTTCTGCAGCGTTAAAAGCAATTAAACAACAGTTATCCGAATAAAAAGTATATAGTTAAGGCGGAGTTTAATTAAAAACTATGTTCACTTTAACGTTAACGATTGTACACTGTGAATGCTCCGCCGGATATTTGTTTGTTTACGCAAGACTGACATGTACAAATAACCTCAACGGAGCATAGTTACTGTGTAAAATTACCCAAAGTTTTTCTCGCAAAAATCGTGCAAATCATGGAAATAGCATATAAAATAAGAAGAAACTTTGTATTGTGTCATCATTTCACAGTAGACACCTACAGATAAATATTAGAAAAATCGCAAAAATATTAAAATGTATCAATGCGATACTTGTCAAAAGATGTATAAGTATAAGAGAAATCTACTTCGACATGTTAAAGAACGACACAGAGAGGTTGAACATTGGAATTGTCCGGTTGAGGAATGCACATCCAAATTCATTCGTCGGGGATATTTGTGCAAACATTTGATACTAAAACATGGCTACACATCATTGAAGTCACGTGAATCTGCTATATCAGCCACCAGAGGAAACGCGTATTCACAGAACTCATACTACGATGACGTCAGCGACGATGATTCTATATTAGATTTATTGTCATACAACGACACACACAACGACTTTGAGCCAGTTTTAGACAGTTTTGATTTGAACATGCTTGATGAAACAAACAACAGTCAGTATGATGACGTCAGTAGAAATGACGTCAGAGACGTAGACGTAAATGATTGTCAGGCAAGTGTTGAGTGCAAGGATGTTGAAGTTCCAATTGAAATAAACAATAATTGTAGTGAACGTCAGAATGATATTTGTGACTCAATAAGTGACGTTAACGTCAACGTTAACGTCAACGGAATAAATGGCAACCAAAAGGATTCTGGACAAAATACAGAAATTAAAAACAGTGAAACTGAAAGTGATAGTGAGAAAGAGGACAATTATAGTGTCGTGACAAGTTTCTCCGAGGGAGATAATATTGACATCGACGTTGACAGTCATTATGATCAAAACACAGAAAATTCGACGTCTGAAAGTATTGTTGATGAAAATAACAACTGTTGTTTGGATAGTAAAGACACAGATCTTTCCGACGACGGCAGTGACAACGACGCTATCAATAATAACGTTTGTGATGAAGATATGGTTATTATTTCAAGTGACGGAGAATCTAGTGGAGGAGACAGTGACCCAGAATATCAACAAATCGAACTAGCCACGTCTCAGTACAAAACCAAAGTGTGGAACTTTACATTTAGACAAAGGTTATGTTTACGTCAAGGACAAGAATACGTTTTAGGAGAGAATATTGAATGTGACTATTTTGAGTTTGACAAATAGACTAAAAAAATGTGTTCGTGTGTTTAATTATGTCAAAAAGACTGCTCTTGCTTTTCAATATGAGCACAAGAATTTGAGACTGCCATGAAAATATTGATCTTATTTGTATATTTTACAATTTCTGTATATATTGACTTGGAAATGATATTGTTAGAAAACATTTTGATTGAAATGATTTTGTAATAAGTAATTACTAGTATAATATCAAATTTACATATGATAGATGAATATTAACGGTTGTATAATATCTGAATACTTGAAAATGTTCTTATTACATAATGAGAATATACAGGATAAATATTGTTTAAATTTCAACACTTTAATTTGAACTTAAAACTTTGAAGTTATTTCAATGCTTTGTTTATTTCGCTTTGGTGGGAGTGTCGCAAATAGCGAGTGTATATATACAATTAAGTTATCGGAGTCAGTTGATGACCGGTTGAGTCAAGACTCCGTCGGAACCTGAAAGAACTCCGTCAGAATCCGTCGGAGTCGATACTTAAATATTTCATGTATCACGAGTTTCATGCTATTTTCAGGTTAATTGTTACCTATATAAAGGGAATGAAATTGGAAACCGGGGTTATTAGTTTGGGATTAGTTTAGTTGAGTTTAGTTGTGTTAAGAGAAAATTACATGTGAGGATTATTCAGGATATTGTCTGTAAAATAAAATAAAATAATTGGATTATAAAATAAAGAAAGTTAACAAGAAATTATTGTGTTTTTACTTAAAATAAAATAAATTCCAGTGTGGCAAAGAAATAGAAATCTACAGTCCTAAAACTGAAAGTAATAAAACTTCGCCACACCCAAAGCACGAGAAATAAGTCAAATGATTCGTCCTGACAAAAATACTATTACGCTTATTAAATGAAATTAATAATAGGACGCATCGATTTAAGGAATGCTTTTGTTCATGTTACTAACGTAAAGAACCTAATTTAACTAAAAAGCATTATAGAGACAGGAAATGGTCTTCATGGGTGACACGGATGATGAGATAATGTACTACCTAAATGGTTTAGGCCAATAATTTAAAAGTACAAGGAAATAAACTTTTGGATGAATGAGAAAAATATAGGTGAAAAATTCACATGATGCAACTACCATTAACATTATAGTGTAAAGTGCATCATGTGGTAATCGGTGAGCTGTTTAATCTATCCAATCACTATTTTCTAGCCAATTAGAAATTGGATAAAAATTGACTCCAACATAGTTATGTATTTTTCTTCATTTTTTTCTTCTTCTTTTTCTGCATTAATCTATTTTTACGTTTCCTACACAACCTTCAACAGAGTAATACCATCATTAATAATCATATACACTGACGTCTCTATGTCTGATTTATATCATAATTATTAATTATTATATATAATATTAAAGATATAATAGGCTTAAATTTTGATACTTTAAAATATTGATAATTGCTACACAATTTATATGTAAGTGTAAAATTAACATTAGAGTAGATATAAACCGTTTAAAAATATATTCACTATCGGTAATACATAGTATCATTTAAAAATAGCTTTACATGCATAGTTTGTGCATTCGTTTATTCAAAATTCAGTAAGAATTTCCTAGATTTAATAAGTGCCTGGAATAAAAATATTTTATTTGAAGATGAGCAAAATATATCTTTAAGTGTTTGAATTTATTATTATCTTCTATTTTAAAACATTCCTAAGTTAGGTAGATATACGACAAATCTCAACCTCAATATTCGTTATTATATTAATATGATGTACATGTATATTATTTATTATTATAATTATTTGATAATTATATATATTTTAACTACTTGAAAAATAGTAAAAAAGTAATCTCTTTATTAATCCTTCATTAAACGCAATACAAATTTATTTTATATTACAACAATCTGCCTATATAAAAGTAATAAAAAGGGATATATTCGTGTCCTCCTGCAGAGATTTAAAGTACGTGATATTCTTTTTATCACATATCTTAATAAACAACGGCTTACAGTTAAAAAGAGACATTTTTCATTGACACGCTAAAATGTAACGCTTAGTTTAGAGCGCTTTAACGCTATGTGTGTATATTACAATTACACTTGTGTAGTATCGTGTTTATATAAGTGGTTTATTACTCTTCTGCGCTTTGGTTTATGTGATAAGATTTAATATGAATATAAGTTATTGTATTCCTTATCATTACTTATTTCCTATACAAACGGTATAATCATATCATTTGGCATGTGTTTTGGTTTTGCTGCTGTTGTTTTTTTCTCTTCTTTTTTATGTTTTTTTTTCGTTTTGGTTTGGTTTATGTGTTAATACGACTATGAGTTTTTGTGTGAACATTATTAATACTTAATTCTATTACAAACTGTAAAATAATATAATATATAATAAAAACAATTTCAAACCAAAAGCAATTAAATTTGTTTGTTTGTTTGTTTGGATTTTTACGGCACGTCAACGCATAACTGGCCATATCGTGCCGAATGCTATAATAGGCTTAAAATGTTTTTAATGATAATTAATTTACAATTATGACAATATGCATGTACCCTACAATTTTTTCACTATGAGATATATCTCTAAGGAACTTCAGAAAAACACAACAAATTAAATATACCACTCTTCTTTGTTTTTGATTTCAATAATTAAGGAATACATTTACATATTGATATAAAAGAGAATTATATATATCTTAATGTTTTCTTTGTGATTGTTTATGATAGAGATTCTCGACTTGCTGTCATTCAGTTTGAATTGCTTAATAATTTTGTTTTCTTAGAAAATTAACAAAAATATTCAAATGAAACATTTTGCATGTTTTGCCAATTATAAATGTATAGCATTTCTTGGCAATTTTTCAATAAGTCATTATTATTAACAATATTGTTCTTGTACTTTCTAATACTTACAAAAAATAAATGGAAACACCCGTGTTGAATGACCTCAAAAATAAAAGTACACTGAACTGTAAGCCACTTAAACAGTGATATTGCCTGGTCACGTGACTCATAAATCGGTCAAATATCTGGATAAAAGACGAAAATATTTTACACTATAACTAATGACCGATGATTGATTCAAGCGTTTGATAATCCTATCACTTAAAATATGTAAGACAAAATCCGTGTACTTTGTATCAGGATAAGGACTTCCTTGCGTTATAGAGAAAAAGATCACGTCCGTTAAAAGCGCACCTTGATCAGAAATATTTAGGAAAGCCAGAAAAGTATAGGCCTGTTCAAACTGGTGTCTGTTAGTGATTAATCCAAGCTACCATCTACTCTAACGTAGGCAGAATAAATCATTGAAGGTAAACAGAAAATGAGATAAATTACCACATTGTGTATCTTTGAGTATGTAAATTTGATTATTATGAAAATGATTATCTGTCATTTAAATCAAGTATGTAAATAAGAAAACAAATGTTATATTTTGCTAACATTATGTTCAAATAATTGCTTCCGAGGTATCACTCCCACCCCTTTCAGGTGTTTATATAAAAGGACACAAAAATGTTTATGATATAAACAACATACTATATAAATAAATGAATAAACAAACGGTTTGTGACTGGTTTTCACTCTTGATAAACAAATAAAAAATGCGATGCAACCTATTTATTGTACATGCTTCAATAAACTTTTAGTTTTAATGTACGTCTGTGTTTTCGTGTTTATAAACAGTACTTTATAACTCAG